AGGATTATTATTGGAGATGATGTACGGTCTGGGGTCATTCCTTCAAAGAGGTCTGTAGACTGATACAAGGTTGCTTTAATTAAATGCTAGCCTGTGTTAAAAAAAAAATCGTTTTCGTTACTAGGTTATTAGTAATTTTCTTTTTCAGGTGGTCTAAGGAAGGAAGACATGTGAAAACCCATTGAATGCTAAAAATCTGATCCATAAATGTCATTCACTGTCATTATGTGCCATAAATAACTGTATAGATTTTTTTATCTCTTGATATGAGGTGTGCACTCAAACAATGATGCTGTGGTTATTAATATCACAATGAAACAGAGCATCACGTCTGATATAGGGTGATAAGGGTGGAGCCTATATGGTATTAGCTATGGGATGAAGCATCTTTGGCTTCTGAGTCACAAGTTTGAATCCAGTATGTCTTGGTAAAGTGACTGACATCAGATAATATCGATACTTTTCAGAAGGGAGCAACAAAAGAAGCCTTTTTCCCTTGGCTGTTCTTGCATGGGTAATGTTTTCCACTTGCGGTGAATTTTGATGGGCTCATCACATCCATCTCCACAGAGCTCAGTAGCTTTTGTGGCATTCACTACAAAATTCAAGATCTACCCTCATTGCATTCTCTAGGACCTGTTTTGGAGTCTACATTTTGAGCTACTTTTGAGCATCTGCTGGATCCCAGCTTTGTGACCCTCTTCAAACAATTTTATCTGATGACTCTGAAGGACTATAGTGACGTTCCTAAATCACACCATTTGTTTTCTACCTGCAGGAAAGCTGGGATGTTCAAGGCACTCTCTATACAATCTGAGTCATTTCCCATTTGCAGCCACGAGATCTGCAGGTATTGAGCAACTAAAAGGAATAGGTTGGTTATGCCTCAAGTTAAACACCCCAAAAATCAACATGCATTGCTTCTCTCTGAAATACTGCCTTTCTGAAAACTTTGGCTTAGTGCCTACAACCGTTTTCAGCAAGGAGGGAAGATGACATTGCCACAGATTTTTTTTCCTTGCTGTGAGGAACTAGCAAGGTGAATATGCAATGAGGAGGAAATTGCTGAAGTATCTGTCTTGGAGTGGCAGAGTCTATTGAACAAAAAGKAAAGGGGATACTTGAGAAATTGAAGCCCTTTTGTGTATGCTGCTCAAGTGGAAGCTTCAACATTYGGAATCTCAGGAAAAATGGTTGGCAATGACCAGGCTTTGCTTTGTCTGATGCAGACCSAAATCCTGTTCTCTTCCGTAAGGTTTGTACCTGTGTCCCTGAGAGAAGGATTTGGCCTTTTGAGTGGTTTTATCCACAGATGAAGCWGATCTGATACACGCTCAGAGCAAGGGGAGAGTGCAAATTCCCTGCAGGGAGGCAACCGCCAGCCATGTAAACAAAGAACCTTCTGGGTGTGCAGCAGCCAGCCCACTTGAGCTGCTGTTTCCATGGTGTACCAGATGCTGTAAAATAATGGGTTTTTTTCAGGGGAACAAGCTTTTCTTACTCCACATTATCTCATTTGTTGATGGACTGTCATCAGGCTGGTACCTCACTGTATGGGCCACATGTGAYGAGTCCCTCCTGGCTCAACCATTTTCTGAGTTGTTGATGGTAATTCATATTCTGCAGCTTACTTAGGTGATTTTTTAAAACTTGGAACAGCATCGCTAACTCTGCTTTTAATCGTTACTAGTGAGTGTTTAGTGTGCTACAGTTCTTCTGATGCACATGSTGTCACAGAAAATACTGTGTGTTGTTTTGCTTTTCAGTTTCCTTCTGTTTTCCTRAAAAAAATCAGCATACATATGTTTCCATTTTCCCCTGATCATTCTCTTCCTAATCTCCATGTTGCTTTGTTATAATTCCTGGTTTAGTGAGGTTTAAAGCCACTATGTGCAGGTCAGCAGGTACCATTTCTGAGCTTGACTGAAGATCACCCAGTGGATAAATATGAGGAAGTGAATAGAGGTGATCAATTTTCTCGTAAAACAGCAGCTGGTGGTGAACAAGTGCTTAGTTATATCATAGATACCAAGTACAAATGCAATTATAAATATGGGCAAGTTTGCAATAATTGCTTGAAGCCAACCAACCTCAGCCAGTGTAARTAAGTTACCAAAAGCACTCATGAGGCTTGCTGTGCTTCAAACATGACTGACAAGAGGAGGAGGAGGATGTTTTCAGGGTACCTGTCTGCTGAAAGCCGTGTTTGGGGATGATGCTGCCAAATGGACAGAGCTATGTGCATGTGCCATGTTCCTCACTCTGCTCTGAGTCCAGTGCAGGTATCTTGGCTTTCCTCGTGTCTACCAAAAGCACTCATGGGTGCCTTAACATGACTCCATCTCCCTCTACCTGAAATGGGTGCCTTGGTTTGTAAGGGACATGTGCACTTGTGCTCTCTGCCTTGCCTACACTCTGACCACCACAGCTCCACAGGGTCCTGGGTGTGCTGTTGGCTTTTCTTTCCCAGGCTTGCTACCAGCTGCTTGCCAGCCCCCTGAAGGAAGCAAGCATAGCAGGGSGTTCCAGGGCTGAACAGAAGGCAGGTAGTGGTGAGTATGTGTGTGCAGGGCATGGGAAAGTGTCCTGGAGTGTAGAGAATGAAGCTTCTTTTACTCCTGAGGATGCTTTCTCACAGTCTTTCCCAGGTGCTTTTCAGCTCCTTCTCTTCCCCCATCCTGCAGGCTTGTACTTGTGACTTTAGGGAAGAAAAATTAAGCGTGGTTAATTTTAAGCCAGTGCAATTATTTAGGAGTCCTGGAGGTGAAAAACCAGTTACTGGTTAACAGACCTGATTTGAAATGTGTTCTGCCTGACCCCCCTACTTCAGTGAGCCAGAAGCAGTTCTTCCAAGGAGCTGGCTTTCTGGAAGGCTTTTTCACTGAATCATTTAAAGCCTCGGCTTCTTGAAAATGTTAATATCCTGCTGGCTCGCTGGAATGCAGCTGGTGGGTACAGCAAGTGCAATACCTATGTGCGTGCTCGCAATCCAAAGCACAAGTTAGCAGGCAGGGCTCAGGCTGCAGTGTGGGTGTCCTTGCTGAAGGCTCAGGAGCGGGGGGGAGCAGAGAGCAGAGCTGATTTGGCACCGTCCCACAGAGCTGGAAGTTCCTGTGCCCTGCCTTTGCGGTGCAGTTGTGGTTCAGCAGCATTTGCACCCCTGGTGTGACYGTGCCCGGTGACCTCGAGCCGTGCCCTGCGTGGTGCTGGTGCCGCAGCGTGGCTGCAAATGTCAGCTGTGGGCTGCTCTCTTGGACAAAATTGGGAATAGAGTGCCCTACCAGCCCTAAATGCCCGCCTGGAGAGCAGTGCTGGGGGTGTTTAACCCCAGGATTCCCCTTAGCATCAGCAGGGGAAGGCTGCAGACAGCCGGTGTRATGCTGGAATCACAGCAATCGCAGGCTGAAATCCTCCAGCCACTGCAGCATCTCTGTAGCAGAAATGCATGTCCGTGTCAATGTGTGTGTGCTTTCCCCCCCCACGGTGCCTGCAGATAAAAGCCTTTTTGAGTTAGCTGTGTGTGTTTGTGGTATTACAAAGGCTTTGTCCACCTTCGTTTCTGTGTGCTAATGGATGAGGCTTTTCTGCTTACCTTAGCAATAAAGAATTTTTCAGGGGAGAATAAATATTCTCTTCAGGCAATATACATTCTCCTCAGGCCACCGTCTAATCCACCTGCTTCATAATTTTATCTTTACTGKGTTTTCTTACACATCATCCAGTGTTTTTTGTATCTAAAGAAAAACCTAGACTTCTTGCCTTAAACTGGAGATGTATTGTCCTGCAGAATAAAAGTATTACAAATTCCTGGATTAAAAAGAAATCACAGCTGTACTATAAGAATAAAAAAGATAATGAGGGGCTCTTTGAGAGGAGGACTGCAGGTGGTAGCAAGTGCTTTGCTAATTTGGACAGTAAGTTAGCACCCTTGGGTGCTAAGTTGGATCACTTATTTTAGTTAGCAGACTTTCTTTTGCTTAAATAAATAATAATTAAAATGCTCTCAAAGCACACACATATTGCATGGGCTTGTTTATTTATGTCAGCAGTAGATGTATTTACAGTAGTTTGTATTGTTATAGCTAATATTCTGTGGTATGTCATAAAAAACAAGATTCAATATGAGACGTAAATATCCTACTTTGTGAATTTTCCCTGARGAATGAAGATAGATCATGATAGTTTTTCTTCCATTAATATAAATGCAGATTAATGCAATCAAATGTGTTACTTTTTYCCCAAACAAGTTACAAACACAATGGAGTACGATTCTCAAATATTGCGGTTTCATTAAACCAGATTTTTTTTTATGTTCACTTTTGGGAATATATTTTGCACACCTTCTTTAGATTGATCAATTTAAAGTCATTTAAGACACTAACAATTCAGTTTAGTGGCAGGTTTATTTAGATAAATGGATACCCATTTTCATCAATTATGAAAATGAAACACAGTGAAAATACTAAAATTTTGAAAAAAATAMATCTGCTTACTATTCTGCAGAGTGTGCCAGCTGACTGCCTTGTGCTAAACTCTGACTTGGCACGTTTGGGTTTTTTTTAAATAATGTGACTAAAACCAAAGCAAGATGACCTTGCCATATTCCCTGTGCTTCTCTTTGGAGTAGTAAGTCATGTACTTATCCTCTTATTAATTTCTCTATTAGTTTTCCATCCATTCGCATATCTGAAAAAAATTGTCAGGGCCAAAATGCTGAAATTAGTTTAAAAAGAATAAATCATKAAATGGTAACAGATTTTGGAGTGTAAAACCTTGATGAAAACATGTATCATGGCTTTCCAGGTCATTTTGGGGTTGGAATTTGTTTTTCCAATCATCATTTCTAGACTCTGTGATGTCACATATGGACAGTGAGGTTATGAGTTAAACCATGGCTCTCCTGGCTGAGGTTGAAAGCTTTGTGTGAGTGTTAGACACAATGTGTAATAGAACTTCTGCTGCAYTTCTCTAAAATCCTGTGTTATTTTTCTTTCCTCCAGGGTTTTTGGGAAAGCCACACAAAACTCATAACAGAATATGGACCTGTTTGTGGGTAAGTTTAGCAGTGCTGTCAGCTTTCTTCTTTCTGGCTCTTGCTCTTTGAGTTTGTTGGGTGGGAGAGGAGAAAATACCAAGATAAGACATTGATCAAAATGCACAGTGCAGTGTTTCAGTCTGGGGAACAGAGGTGGAGGTGKTTTGATTACATGCAGCAAATACTCTTGGCTTATTTTAGTTTAGCATTTGGCATTGGACTTCATTTTTCTCTCTCTTATTTTAATTATGCACATAAAGTTTAGTCCTTTTCAGAACTGTACAAAGCTAGCAGCCTTCAATATCTCTTTTCATCTGCATATTCTTTATACTTACATTGAACAGTGGAAATAATAATTTGTCATCTTAAAAAACCCTCAGTTTATGAAATAATATGAATTTGGTTCAGCTGTTGCTATCTATATTTATGCAAAATTCCTAAACTTAAAATACAATGGAGTACAGATTAGAAATGAGGCATTCCTCTCTCTGTAGCTCAGCTGTGCTATCTTACCAGTTTATTAGAAGTGAAGARGGTTTAAGCAGTATGTCCCTTCGTAGAAGCCCTTCCACATTTCTGTGAATGTCATTTCTGTTCCAAGAACTTTCCAGTGGTCATCATTTTAAGTGGAAATGCAGTTGTTTTGTGGTATCTACAATTGTTGTGCTCAGTTGGTGTTTATGCATTATTAACTATTAATGGTGAAATATTATGGCGAAATAACTATTATTTCAATATATTATTTCGATATATAAATATCAGGTAATATCCACAAAGTACAGAAAATGTAAGTTTTTTTTTCCCTGTGGTCTGCAAGGAGTTGAAAACACATGTAAGAGAGCAAATATGAATGCCTGTGTGTATACATATTTGATTACAAAAGATACCACAATGCTCTGTATGTTCTTCCAGCAAAAAAGCTGTAGCAGAAACAAGTCAGGCTCAGCATTTGATGCTCCAGTCACAGCCGCCTTGTGGCATTTATCCTCAGCCCTAAGGACAAAGTGCTGCAAGAAGTGATGGAAATAATGAATTCCAAGGGTTAGGTACTTGTCTAGGAGGAAATAATGCAGTGTCTTGGCTGGCCAGGAATGGGAAAAGATATTCATTAATGCTGTGGCAATTTGTATGTTGTGTAACAAATGGAAAGTGACTGAGGCTTATTATCTCCGTGACCTTTGGTGTGATGCCCTTAAATGACAATAATGTAAGAACACTGGCATTCATTCCTCTGCATACTTCCCTCCTTATTAATATCATGCCTCTTTTTTTTCTAAGCTGAATTTGAGACAAGTTGCTATTTAGTCATCTGTCTGCTCACTGAGCCAGGCAAGGCTATTTCATTGGAGAAAGAGATGTATAATTACAGTAGGTGAGCAGATAGAAAGTTTCATTTCTCCAATCTACTTACAGACTGTTAGGGAATGAAACCTCTGTGAGATTTGCATGGACTGAAAAGCTGGGTGATGGTGGCTGTGGTCAGCCAGGATAGTTCTGCCTCTTTGGGATTCTCTAGGTGGGAAGAGCAAGCAGATTGACCACAGGTATCCTTCATTTACTGCATGGAAAACTCAATTTGTGAGCGATCTAGGAGGCTAGCAGAAAAAAAAAAAAAAAAAGCTGCTTTTTTTTTATCTCCCAGGAAAACAAAGCTGGATGCAAACAATGCTGTGTTGAGGGTAAGCTCTATTTGTAGTTGAAGGAGGATGTTTTAAAACCTGGSTTGTGAGCTGCTGTTCAATAGGTGGGGTATGTGTCAGAGGGTATTTATCACAAGCCTGTCCACTAAAGAAATTCCTTCTCCTTCCCTATAAGCCTTCAGTGTGATTCTTTGAAATAGGCAAATAAATGGTAGGTGTGTTTATGTGTATGCTCCCAGGAAAGTATTGGATCTGGCAGATGGAAGAAGATGTGGCATTTTTCTTTTCCCAGATTGAAAACTGCTTTCCAATATGCATAAAGAGCAATGATCTTTATTTCTACAGTGGTGAAGTGAGTTGAATACAAATCTTTGGAACTGAAGCCTTTTTTTCTTCCTAAGGTCACTTGAATAGTCTGAATGATACCATCACAACTGTTTTCTTTTGTGTGTGAATTGGTTTCCTTGACAACAGGATGTCAAATCAACTTTTCAGCTTTAATCAAGTCAAAACAATATATCCCTTCCATTCCAAAAGGCCTCAAGTCGGAGAGAATTATTTCAAGTAAGGCTTTTGTAGGTCACAAAGGCTTTTTTTCCCTGTGCTCCCGTGTGCAAATCCAAAGGAGAGGTGATTGTATTGATATTTTTTAAAGAGAGACAATGCAAATAGTCATCAGTTGTGACTTTGTGCTGTGAAAACTGTTTGTTTTCATACAGAGGTGGCCCAAGATGGAGGCCAAGGCAGAAACAAACAGCTCTGGTTTGGTGCAAAAGCAGAGATGGAGCATTTCTATTTAACTGGGGAATCCAAGCCACTGATGTGTCTTTCGAAGAGATCCTGCAATAGATCTTTGGTTTAGCTACAATTCAGAGTACCTTCTGTAAAAAKGCTTCCTCTCAAACATGTGTGCTATTCCTCCATAACAAAAATAAAGGTGAAAAAATCGTATTTGGAAAACAATGTACTAATACATATTAAGATTTGCCTTGAATATTCTCCTAGTCATGTCAGAGTTCTGCAGAAGAGTAGCTGTGGAAATTAGTGATTTACGCCACTCATTTTTTGGATGAATATTGATGCTTTGATACTTTATTTTCACTCCCACCATACCCAATTGTTCCATTTCAATTGCAAGTTAATGACTACTGACTGGAAATAGGTGATAAGAACAGACAGAGAAATAAAGAGGGAAAATATATTTTATGGAATCAGAAAAGCAACTGCCACAATGGGAGCAGAGGTGCAGAGCAAGTTAGTTTTGTGTTCACTTCATATGCATTTGACCACTCTGCTGCAATTGCATCATTATGGCTTCAAAGAACTGAAAGCATGTATGCCTGATTTGGAGTTAAAGAAATCTGCCAAAATAAGTAATATATTCATGGCCCCACAACACAGTAGCAGTGAGAGTAGAAAATATGATACAGCCCCAAGTGGGCAGTTGATTGCTCTGGGATGAAGGAACTTAATCTGCCTTTGATTGTAGCAATGCACTTGGACGTGGGGAGCAACGTAAGAGATCATAACATAGACCTCACTGGGTGTAATCCAAGAGTGAGAACRGATTAAAATTCAGTGCAGTTTGTGGGGTGACACTCTTTCTTCGTGTTGCTTGACATCTGAAACAGCTTGCAGCAGGTCAGACCCTATTCTTACTCTGCCTTGATTTGAACACTCAACTTCAGCTTGCTGTGAGAAACCTGGAGATAGCCTGTGGTAGAAGCTCTGGTTTGTCACTCTGAGSACTTGGGATTTTCCCCTTTTGTGGATGGAATTCAGGCACTTGGAACTTTACTCAGAGCCTTTTCTTTCATTCTTCCCTTATCAGACACCTTGGGACAAACCTGAGGTGGATAGGGCAGCATCTCCTCCTGCAGGGAGTAGACAATGTATTCACAATGGGCCAAATTTAACTGAAAAAACAATGTCTTTRTTACTAGTTTAAATTAAAGTTTTTTAACTCCTTAATTTCTAGCCTTATCTTGCTTTCTGTGGAAAAAGTAATTCCAGRGCATTCTCATCTTTGTTTCTGAAGGCTCAGGTAAATAATTAACTTAGTTTTATGAAAGAAGCTTATCCTGTTTAATTTCCTCTTTTGCACTTGGGGGGAGCCTAATAGACTTACTACCTCTCTTGTGGTGCTTCCTTTAGTTTAATATTTAAAAGAATTTACTTTTCATATTTCAGCTTGAGGAAATCACACCTGGACGATGACAGGGGAAAAACAAGCTTCCTGTTGCTGTTTTACAATTTTTCATAAACTTTCTTTCACATGTAACCTGGCAGGGAATTTTGGTAGCCTCACTTGCCTGGATTTTTGTTTTCTTAAGAAGCAGTATTTTTCTAGGTCAGTGTCAGGTCTTTCATATTTCATCAAGATTTATTGTCTTCTCACTGTTTTCTCCTTTGTGTTGTGATAAGGTTTTTGGATTCAGTAAGATTGCTGATCAGCCCCAGAATTGCTGTTGTGGGTTAGAGTTATCTCTTTGATCCATTAACTACCTGCAAATTGTGCAGTACAGCAGAATCCCTAACTCTGAGCACATGARTAATCTCATTAAAGTCAATGGTATTACTCAACATGCTTCAAGTTAGCCAGAAGTCTTCTACCTTGCTGAATCAGGGCCATAAAAAACCAATTGCATTTGTGCCTTAAAAATATTTTTAGTGCTGTTGGTACACATAAACACCTAGTTCTATTGTACCTGGAAGAAGTTAATGGGGAGAAAAATATTTCTTCTCCCTCCCCACCCTCTCTTTTGATAGCACTTTGCATGTAGAAAATTTAGTTCCTCTTCTGTGAAATGTGTTAGTCATTCTCTCTGAAATGGAAAATATTGTTGCATAAATGGACAGAACAATAGGACAATCTTAATGTTTTTAAATTTAACTTTTAGACTACTTTTTTTTTTTTTAAATTCTCACTATGATAATTTGTTAATAGTAACCTATTTTTTTAAAGTTGTCATTATGAAATAAACCCCTGACACCCAAGAATATTCCTGCCAGAAACTCCAGGGCAGAATTCACAGTCCAATGCTATATCTCCATCTGAATCCCCACACTTAAACATAATTAGGTATTGGTTATAGTTAGCTCCAATGGTTAAATCAAGCTGCTGGAATGAGTCCTGTTAGTTACTTTTAGGTGTATCACCATCAGTTTCTTCTCTTGTCTCTTSAGCTAATTGGTCTTAAAAACATAGCTTTCTGTGAGACTGATGCCTAAAGATTTACCCAAAAGGTGGCATTCCATACTGAGAACTGGAGKTTTTCTGAGAACTGGAATCTGTGTCACAGGTGGAATTGTTTTAGTGGCTGCCTGATCATTATTGGAGTATTTTACATTCTGCATAAGCAGATCTGTGGGCTGCAG